GAGGGTCTCCATGCACACCCAGGGAAAGGGACACACACCCTCATAGTGCTCGAGGGTCTCCATGCACACCCAGGGAAGGGGACACACCCCCTCATAGTGCTCGAGGGTTTCCATGCACACCCAGGGAAGGGGACACACCCCCTCATAGTGCTCGACCGCAGTGAAAAGACCAAACTATTACCACCGCCTGGGAAACCTAAGCGTGCCTCCCCAGGGAGAGCGCATAGGGAGGGTTTGTGAGACTCAGTCTTCACAGTAGAGCATCCGCCCATCTGAGGACGTCTCTTTCCCTCTGACTTTGTTTTCTAACCCCAAGAACTGGGCCAGGATTTCTGGCAGGTAAGGAACTTGCATTCCTAGAAAGCACCTGAGAGATCTGAGGGTCCATGGAGCATCCTGTCTTCCACATGGGAAACACAAAACCACAGCTTGTTGATGATACAAACCTTTCTGTCAATATCTTCATAAAGCCTCTCCACTTCCTTTTCCTAGTATTAAAATAAAAGCATATGGTCATCAAGTATCTGCAAGAAAAGTGCCATAAATAAATCCTTAACCTCCCAGTCTCCTCTCACCTCCTCAGTTAGCTCAAATTCTTCCTCATCAAAAATTCCACAGGTTTTCATGCAAAGTCCCAAGCCCACTCCAGGCTGCTAACCCTTTGCCCTGTTCCTCCCGATTCCTCTTCCCTTTTCCCTTGGCACCATACTTTTCTGAACTTTTTTGTGTGCAGCTTGTGAGATGTTTGTTGGGCTTGAGTGTGAAACGTCCCCACAGACTTGGTTTCCAGCTGGTGGGGCTGTCTGGGGAAGCTATGGCGTCTTTTTAGATTAGGTCTTGCAGAATTGGACCCCTTGGGGAAGGTCTTGGAAGGGTATACACTCTGGGGGTTCTAGCCTCATGTCTGCTTCCTGATGCACCATGTGCTCCCCCGACCACAAACCACGCTCTGCCTTCGCTGCCATGATGGGCTGAGAGCCTCCGAAACCAGGAGCCACCAATGCCTTTCTTCCCTGTGCTGTTCCGCCAGCACAGCCACACAAAGGGAGCAGCCTCCTAGTCTGCTGCAGTCTGGTTTGGTTTTGCTTAATTCATCTCTGAGAAATCCCCACCCTTCCATACGTCCAGATCAACCCACAGTTTTCATGGTCATCTGGCCTTCCATTCCATGGCAGGATCACAAATTAGCCAACTCCCATGGGTGAGTGCCACCTTTGTCTCTATCATCTGTTAGTAATACTTGAGGGCAGGCAATCCCTAGTTATCATTTTGATAGCTGGGATGCAGATTTAATTCTAATAAAAAGCAAGATTCCCCTTCTGGAAGGCTGAACCAAGGGGCTGGAGAGACAACTCAGGGATTACAAGTTCTTGCTTTTTTTAAAGAGGACCAGAATTTGGTGCTCACAACTATCTGTAACTCCAGCTCCAGGGGATCTGATGCCTTCTTCTGAACTTCATGGGCACTGCACTCATGTGCTCAAACCCCTACACAGATATACACATACACATAGTACAGCTTTTCTGCGCCTATATTTACATAAATATGGTCAGCTACTTGCAAGGATATTCCATAATAAATCATTAATCTAAATATTAGGTACTAGTCATCTTCAACCTGAGTTTAAAAGGAAACACACAATTGCTTATTCATTCTTTCTTAATTAGGACTGAAACAGGTGTATTAGAACTTGGAAACTTGTCTTCTCAGTGAGTTTCCTACTTGTTTAATTTGCCTGTTTTTCAGTGGGCTGTCGCTGTATTCGTGACTTTAGGAGCTCTCATAAATTAAGAAAATTGGATTTTCATCGTGAATATTTTCTTCCTTGTTTTAATAAACTTCTGACTTCATTAATTTTCTTTTTCAAAGATGAAAGTCTGTTTTTTCATCTAGAAAAAAATGCTGTGTCTTTGGGGATAATCACTTCTCCTGTGTGATATAGAATGCAGGGACTAACACCCAGTCTGTGCCTCTCCGCCTTCACCTGGCCCATGCTGCTGTCTGGCGGCTCAAAGGTTTCCTGGTGTCTGCCAGGTTCTCCATCAGATTCAAGATCAGTTTCCTCTGTGTGTGGTGGTATTGTGTTCCCCAAAATATTGTGTACTCTAATAAATTTATCGGAGACCAGAGAACAGACAGCCACTAGATACAAAGGCTAGAAAATGGTGGCACTCACACCTTTAATCCTAGCATTCCAGAGATAGAAATCCCTCTGGATCTCTGTGA